GAGCCATATTCAAATAATTTAAAAGAGGGCAGGAAGAACAAATCAGAAAGACAAAAATAAGAAGGAACAAACAAAAACCAAATTGTAAAACAGTACATCTAATGACAACCATATTAATAATTACATTAAATGATAACAGATTATACACCCTGATTAAAAGGCAGATATTATCAGAAATGCTAAAAATTCAAGCCTCAATTATCTGCTGTCTATACATACATACCTTAATTTTAAAATTTTTTTCCATACACACTTTAAATATGACACAGATATGTGGGAAAAATGAAAAAAGTGTATCATGCAAATAGTAAACATAAGAAGGACACAGTAGAAACTTTAAGACCTAGCCGGGCACTGTGCTGGGTGCCTGTAGTCCCAGCTACTCTGGAGGCTGAGGCAAGAGAATTGCCTAAGCCAAAGAGGTGGAGGTTGCTCTTTGGAGGTTGTGAGCTGTGATGCCACAACACTCAACCGAGGGCAATAGAGTGAGAGTGATAGAGTGAGATTCTGTCTCTAAAAAAAAAAAAAGAAAGAAAGAAACTTTAAGACCAAGAGTATAACTGAAGGTAAAGAATAGCATTCTATACAGATAATAGAATCAATTTTTCAGAAAAAAATCTTAAATGTACATGTGTTTAATAATAGAACTTCAAAATTTATGAAGCAACAATTGACAGAATTAAAGAGAAAAATAGACCATTCCAAAAATCACAATAGATCTTATTATTTTTTTAATTTATTTTATTATTTTTATTTTTTTTGAGACAGACTCCTCAAGCCGTCACCCTGGGTAGAGTGCTGTGGCATGACTGCTCACAGCAACCTCCAACTCCTGGGTTCAAGTGATTCTTCTGCCTCTGCCTCCCAAGTAGCTGGGACTATAGGTGCCCACCACAACGCCTGGCTATTTTTGGTTGTAGCCGTCATTGTTGTTTTGGTGGGTCCAGGCTGGATGCGAACCTACCAGCTCAGGTGTATGTGACTGGCACCTTAGCCGCTTGAGCCACAGGTGTCGAGCCCACAATAGATTTTAATACCTCTTTTTCAGTAATTCATAGAATATCTGGCAAATATTAGGTTAAGTATGGAGAGTCTGAATAACTCTATAAACAGGGTTGACCAGGCTGGGCACTGTGGCTCATGCCTGCAATCCTAGCACTCTGGAAGGCCGAGGTGGGTGGGTTGCCCTGAGCTCACAGGTTCAAGACCAGCCTGAGCAAGAACGAGACCCTGTCTCTAAAAATAGCCGGGCGTTGTGGTGGGTGCCTATAGTCCCAGCTACTTGGGAGGCTGAGGCAAGAGAATCACTTGAGCCCAAGAGCTTGAGCTTGCTGTGAGCTATGATGCCATGGCACTCTACTGGGGGTGACAAAATGAGACCCTGTCTCAAAGAAAAAAGAAAAAAAGAATAAAGTTGGAGAAAATGTGTTAATTGATTTCAAGAGTTAATATAAAACATTAGTACTTGAGTGTGGTATGAGTGGAAAAATAGACACATTGATCAAGGGAACAAAAAAGAGTCCAGGAAGGTGCTGTATCTATGTGTGACTACACATATATAGTCAAAATATTTTTCAATAATAATGTTAAGGCAATTCAATGAAGAGAGCAAAGTCTTTCAACAAGTGGTACTAAAACAACTGAATATGCATGTAGGAAAAAATAAATATCGGCTATTATTTCACTCCATCTGAAAAATTCATTCAAAATGGGTCATGGACTTATGTATAAAAAACTAAAACTATAAAACTTTTAGAAGAAAATCTAGCAGTTTCTTTAAAATATATACATATACAGATTGTGTAACATAAATCACATATTACATAATTCAGCAATTTTATTTCCAAATATTTACCCAAGAGAAAAGAAAGCACATATGTATAAAAACCTGTGCATAAATGTTAGCAGAAGTTTCATTTGTAATAGCTCAAAACTTGAAACAATGCAAATGTGCTTCAACAAACCATTACATCAACAAATGTGGTATATTCATACAGTGGAATACTATTCAGCAATAAAAAAAAATAAACTGTTGCTATATCCTACAAAATTAATGATTCAGAAAACAATTATACTGAATGAAAGGATCCAGCCACTAAGAGTACATATTGTGTGATTCCATTTATGTGAAACTCTAGAAAACACAAACTAATCTGGAGGGACACAAAGCAGATCATTGATGCCTGGGGCATACAAAGTAGGGGATGGATTGCAAAGCAGCACGATCAATCTTTTGGTGATGCTGGAAATTATATGTGTCTTTATTGTAGTAGTATTTTCATGTCTGTCTTTAACTGTCAAAGCTCATCAAATTGCATAATTTTAATAGATACAGTTAATTATGTGTATATTATGGACCAATGTGTTTTTTTTTTAAAACCCAGAGTAATAGCTATGTAATAGTCTATCATTTGTACGTATGAAAAGTTGTCCAGTCAAGACTCCTTTATTAGGTATTTGGGGGAAATGATTTTAGTGTAAATAAATGGTAGCAAATATGCAAATTCAAATTAAAAAGTCTAAATGTTCTACGAATCCAGTGCAGGGACATATAGAAAGAAAAGTTGGAAGACTGAGAGGCAGATATCCCTACTGGAGAACCAAACGGGGTAAGGAAACTATGTTTTTTTTTTAAATTTAATTAATTAATTTATTTTGTTGTTGTTGCAGTTTGGCTGGGGCCGGATTCGAACCCGCCACCCTCAATATATGGGGCTGGCGCCCTACTCACTGAGCCACAGGCGCTGCCCGGAAACTATGTTTTGGCAAAGATGATGACTGCCTACAAAAAGAGCAAAGCCCCTATTTCCCTAACAGTAATGACTAACATTCTGACAAGTATTTTACTTTGCCCTTTGTATGCCTCAGGTGTAGAAGAACAGGTTAGAATAGATAGGTTATTTATCTGGTGGTTCATAGAGTCTTGGCAAAGGTAGGGTGGCAAATATAATACTTGACAATAGTCCTTGAAACAAATTGCCCTGGAGCAAATTTGTTGTTGTTGTTGTTTTTAGCGTCAGATATATATTTATTTATTTATTTTTATTTTTAAGTCATATACACACAGATCATGAATACACCTATGCCTATCCTGGAGCAAATTTGTGAACAGTATCAGGGATTGTGGTACTGAATGAATATTATCTCGAGGCAGAGTGTTAACATTCTACTTTATAGAAACTGAGATTCAACAAACTCATTAGCTGTGTCCCTGACATCACCGAAACTTCTTGTTAAAGGCTCTTCACGATTTGAGATGAATTGGACAGCAAAACATCTTCCTCCTGAGCTCTTTGAAAAGGAAAACTGTAAATCCAAGGCATTACCGTTTGTTGTTCACTGGAAAAAGGCAGATCTA